TTCAACACATTATGAAAATAGATTTTGGGGGCAAAGTTGTAGGTTTATTCTAAACAAAACCAGCCTATATTAACTGTGTGGATGCTGAGGCAGCAGTGCACAAGCTGCATTAATATGTTCAGGCTGGTGCCTTCACATGAACTAAATTAACCAATTTCTTACTGTGGAGGACACAAAATTGACACAAAGAAATCATTTATGAAAGCTTACCACCTGCCAGTCATAAAGTTTGTTTTTTTCCAACAGAAGAGATTCATACTAAAAAGCCCAAATGTTGACTTGTAAAATATGTTTTCCAAACACAGCTGTGTAGAAATATTTAGCTTTATTTTGAAAATCTTGCCCCATTCAAATGAATGGGAAAATTACTCTTCAGCACACTTTCAGCTATTTCAGGTATCAAAATGTTCAGCTCTGCAAGGACATTCATGGTTCTCTTCAGAATTTTTCTAAACTTCATACTCTTAAAATATTTAGATTTATTTTGAAAGTCTTGCTCTATTCAAATGAATGAGAAAATTATTCTTGAGCACACTTTCAGCTATTTCAGGTATCAAAATGTTCAGCTGTTCAAGGGCATTCATGGTTCTCTTCAGAATTTTTCTAAGCTTCATTCTCTTGAAATATTTAGATTTATTTTGAAAGTCTTGCTCCATTCAAATGAATGGGAAAATTCTACTTTCAGCTATCAAAATGTTCAGCTCTTCAAGGACATTCATGTTCCTCTTCAGAAGTTTTCTAAACTTCATACTTTTGAAATATTTAGCTTTATTTTAAAAATCTTGCCCCATTCAAATGAATGGGGAAATTCCAACTTCAGCATACTTTCAGCTAGCAAAAGCATTCAGGTGTCAAAATATTCAGCATTTTCAGGATGATCTTTAAGCACTCAGCATCCATATGCATTTTCTTCTGAAAATGTAATTTTCTAGTTTAGCTTTGTAGTTCCTAGATATTTAGATTTTCATCCACTCAAAGGACATTGTAACTGTTTTATGGTTATGAAATATATTATACTTAGATATTTTGGAGACTTTGTATCTAATGACAGTTATATACCATTGTGTGAGAAAGATTAACACACATATAATATCACTACTGTGATACATATTGGGACTAAACGATATAGAAAATGGATGGATGGATGATACATATTGCTTAGAAGAGGCATGCTTATTTGTACATGTAATCAGTTTAACAGCTTTTTGGAAATCACTGCAGTTAAGATTTATTCAGTAGGAAAAATCTGCATTGTCACTGTTACTGGAAGTGATTCAATGTTAAGCGCAGAGACATTCCAGAAAAGGCCACTAGCAAGGCCAAAAGCATTTTGCAGGTTGACATCATTGCATAGTTAAGACCTTATGACTGTGAGTCTTTTCAATGACATCATACTTATCTCGCCCCAACACTGAACTGTGAATATCCTAAATTGATATTATCTACTTTTCCAGAGTATCCTGTGAAAGCAGGTAATTCTTCAGACATACCAGAGGGCAGCACTGGTAATTAGAAATCCCATGTCATTATTTGTGATTTTCAGCGTTATCCCACAGCAGCAGGGAGGTTTTGGGAGGAATGTAGCTGTCCAGCCCTGGCTGCTGCTGCTGCTCCTGCTCTATTACTCACCATGTGGAGTTGGCAGGGGCTCATGAGACAATTCTCAGACTGGGTCTGAAGTCAGAAATGTGCAGGGAAAACTTGTAATCTCTGAGAGGGAGACCGCTGGAGGGAGCTGTAGCGGGGAGTGTTCCAGTACAACACATACGTTGTTGTACAGTGTATCCCCTCTCCCCTGTTACATGCACACACAGTCCCTTATCATTATAACTGATGACTGACTGATCTACACACAAGCAGCCACCCAGAAAGATAGTTTTTCCTCTTTCTCAGGCATAAGTCCATTAATTATCCACAGTATTTGGCCACCTTATTTCCTTCCACATACACAACCTATAATTTGAGTAGGAATGAGGAAGGATTTCATATTACCTATTTGTAGATATTTAACATTTTTATACATAGAAATCTTATTGGGATGATTTTGCCCATTGTTGACCAACTCTCTCATTTTGCATGTGTCCACAGCCCATGTTCTCAGTCACACCCAGCCTTGCAACCAATGCCAATGCCGCAGCAGCAGCAGCCGCTGCATTTAACCCCTATCTTGGTCCCGTGTCACCCGGCCTGATGCCTGCTGACATCTTGCCCAGTGCCCCTGTACTGGTCACTAGCAACCCCAGTGTTCCTGTACCTGCTGCTGCTGCACAGAAACTCATGAGGACAGACAGACTGGAGGTGAGAAACACACACATTTGCCCACACATGTACAGGGATAAGTGGGAAAAATATAACCAGGCAAACACAAATGCACACCACAGATCGCACAGATGAGAGGATTTGCATAATTATTTTGTCACTTTCATATCTGTCACAAATTAAAAGATTGATTAACAAAACCCGAGGAAACACTGTACCCGGTGAAGATCTTTTTCCCAGTTATGCAAACAGATTGGGCTTTGAAATGCAGGCTGTGCCTATTTGAATATTTAGGAAATGGGTTGGAAAGTCTTGCCTCACCAGTTTTTGTTTGTAGACTTTAATTATGCATCTTGTACACAGTTTCTTTTACAGTAACTGCATCCCATTACCATAATATAGCCTTTACCCAGACTTAAGCAAAGAGAAAGGCCCTGATGAGAGTATGTCTCCACAAACATTACCGCTGTCAGTGTTGCATCCTGTCGACAGGCAGCAGACAACCTGTTTGACACAAGTTCTGTTACATTGTATCAGTGAGTAATTTTCAAAAAAATCTTTGCTTCTTCTATGAAATTAATCAGTCATTTATAACCTGATGAGTGCCACTCCTCTGGCTGTGTTCAGATAATCATTAAGTGGACACTAAGTCAATCTCATCTATTATGTAGCCCCAACCGGGAAACACTCGCAAGCGGAATAATGGGGAAATCGTTGGAGGCAGGCAGGAGGCGTCAGAGAACGTCAGGAAGGTTACATTTAAAGTGTAATGTTGGGTAGCAGGGTAATTAACGGGGGTGAGGCTGAGGAAGTCTCTAGGCCTGATGAGCGAGTGGACAACATGCAGAACGAGGGAATGGGTCAATGACAGGAAGAGCAGATGGAGGGGGAGACAGGAAATCAATCTGTGGACCTGTTGACACCATTGGGAGAGTGGTTGGGGCAAGCAGACAAAGATAACGCCAACAAAAGAGAGATTGGCGATTGAATTCCCTAGAGGAGTCATGGCCGGTGAGAAGAAGTTGAGGATAATTGGAGGCCAGGTGTCACTGTTAACGGGAAGAATATGTAGAGCCTGCTCCTTTTCCTTCAGTGGTCAATGTTGCCTGTAGCCTGTGTGTACTGGTGAAGCTTTTTGACTGGGAGAATTTATAAGCTAGCCTAATTTATCATGAACCAGTTTTGCTAAAAATATCTTCAACAAAAGGGCTAGCCATATTTTAGTTTATAGTGTGTGTCATTCAAAATAAACATAGCTGGAATTCCGGGGACTGAAACACATACCAGTCTGTAGATATGTTCCTTGAGGCTGACAGAAATTCCTATTTTAGAAGCCAATCCTCCAGATTGTTTTCCTGAGAAATATTTTCCAGCAGTCACTCTGTCTCTATCATTCGGAGCTATACCACTGCACCTCAGCATGCAGGAAATCATATGGTGCTTACCTGCAACCATGGTGATGTAAATGGCCCAGAGGGACAGTTACCATGGGGACAGAAATATGATTAACAGGCCCTTTATTTGTTTGTCCAACTAAGCACTTTGACTGGGTTAGCTCTCTCTGATGCACGATTAGCCACATTTAGGAGAAACATACCTGGTCCAGAGAATATCGGATTACTTCCACTCACTTTTCCCTTCTTGCTCAAATTTTTTTTTCTACACCAGCCGCCCTCACTTGATCCCCAAAGATTGTCTCCTCAATCCCCACCTCTCTGTTCTTATTCAACCACTCTTACATTTTCCTTTCTCTCCCTTGTTTCCTCCCTCCCTACCTCCCTCCCTCCCTCACCTGCCTCTCCAACATCTGCCTGACAACAAGGCAGTATTTTTTTTTTTTTAAATAAGACCAGTAGCAGCAATGGTGATGGCGGCAGTGGTGGGGAATTAATGTGGGTGAGTGTGCATGTGTAGGTGTTGATTCATATGTGAATGTGTGAGCGAGCGAGAGAGGTACATAAGAGAAAGAAGAGAGAGAATCCCACACAAATTGCTCACACAAATTGGTGATTGTGGATGATGAGCTGTCACGACAGGAGGCAGAGCAGGGTTGGTTTTTAGGTAATGGCACCGGTGGCCTTTTGTCTGGTCCACCACCCACAAACCAAGTCCTTAATGCGTTCAGACAGTGTGGCTGGCAAACAGACATTTGGTAAATGGCTTGCTCTATCACAATCACTAATAGATCGATACAACGTACCATGAAATTACATTTCATTTAGAGTAGGACAGGACAGAGTCAGTGGTGGCTCAGTTTGCTCAGATTTTGAGTTATTGCACAAATCTTTAATTGTCAACATTAAATTCTGGGGCAAAAAAAAAGCTGCCTCATAATTTATATGTGAGCCCACCGTGTGTGTGTGTGTGTGTGTGTGTGTGTGTGTGTGTGTGTGTGTGTGTGTTACTATGTGTGGGTTGGTGATTGCGTAAGCTGCAGCCTCCCTTGAGTGTGAGCAGCCTCATATTTCCCATGAGCCTCATTGAGCCCCTGCTTTCAGGCTGAGGCAATCACTTTTCCAACTGTTCATGCAGATGCTGCCCCCTTCTGTCTGTCTCAGGAAGAACAACAACAGCAACAACAGCTCAACAGCTCATTTGAATAATGGATAAATGCTGTGTGATCGATGAGTCTGTAAACGCTGGTTATGGTCTGCTCTGCTTATCAATCAGCTGTAATGGCCGCACCTGTCTTTAAGATTGGTTAGCTCTGTCTGGTAAAGTGATTGTCAAGTACTGAAAGGACCAAACAGATTGATCACTTCATGAAGTAAAGTGAACATTAATTTCATAATGTGTGCGTGGGTCTGATGTTTGTGTGCTTGTATGCGTATATACATTCTGAATGTCATGCAAACAAGATAAAAGAAAAATGTGTGTTTGTGCCCCAGGTATGTCGGGAATACCAGCGGGGTAACTGTACACGTGGGGAGAACGACTGTCGCTTTGCCCACCCTGCAGACAGCACTATGATTGACACCAACGACAACACAGTCACTGTGTGTATGGACTACATTAAAGGGCGCTGCTCGAGGGAGAAGTGCAAGTACTTTCACCCTCCGGCTCACCTACAGGCCAAGATCAAAGCCGCCCAGCACCAAGTCAACCAGGCTGCGGCTGCTGCAGCCATGGTAGGTATCTGTCCGCAGATCACACCACCAAGAAGGACTTGAGCTAAGGACCCTAGAATAGAGAACTAAAAATTGAGGACAAGCCAGATTTGATTTCTCATGCGATGACCAGTAAGCACATCTAATGCTGATGTTCAGGTTCAGGTTTACTGTCATTTCCAGTCAACATCTTCTGCCCTGTGCTTTTACTCAAGCTCCCAGCACACATTCCAGTCACCACTGTTCCTGCTGTCTTCAGCCCTGATTCAGTATGTGCTAAGAAGATAGAGTCAGTGTGTGCTTTATTAGCAGCAGGCTGTAGAGATTAGGCTACTATGTGTTGCTGCCTCCTTGTTTCGCTGCTTTGTTGGTTGCATATTTTGCTGTTATTCAGTCAATGGTTATATACATTTTTTGCAGAATCAGCTAACCCTGTTTACTTCAGCCTTGTTTCTGCAATGCAGTAAATGCATACACAATAACTCAGCCAAGTACTGTAGGTGATATAGGGAATCCAGAAAGTAGTGCAAGGTTGAATTCAGTTAACCATTTTCCATTTAAATTGTTCCATAAAACCAAATTATGCATAATATGATTAGGCCTCCGCAACTGAATAGTAGTATAGTGATGGTACCATCTCTCCTTTTTAACCACTTTTCTCTTTCATTAAATGTGGTAACTAGATTACTTCGTGAATCTTATTTAGCTTTCATGACATTTAAAATAACAATTAAGACCAGGTTTAAATGATAAGGCCGATGACTGTTTGTTGGTTTTGTTTTCTGCAAAGCAGGAGCCAAAACCAACAATGAAATTTCGTGTACTCACTCTAATGTATGTGAATCCAGAGCCTACTTTAGCTTATTCGTTTGTGGCATAGACCTCAGATGTTGTTGGCAAACTTAAAAACAAGCCAGTGCAGCCACACTGCTGCATTGGATGATGTGGAGAAAAGGAAATCACCAGCCTTATCTTTTAAATACTTTATTGATTAATTATCTGCCTCTTCTCGCCTCTCCCATTTGTACATCACTTTTTAATTCTTAGTGCATTTTATATAGTAATCTATAGGATTTCCTTTCATTTGAATGTAACAAATCAGGTCAACAGGCTAATCCTCTTTTCTGGACCAGAACACCTTTAAGCTCCAGGTGATAGTTTGTGAAACAGAATTTTCTTCTGACAGTAAATTGTGTCAGTGGCTATAATTCCTTTCAGTAACCCTACAGCCATTAATGTGCATGTCTTAGTCTTGTTATTGTTGTATATTGCATTCCAATGATTTGTTTTTTATTTGTTTGTTTGTTTTTTGTTTGTTTTTTCTCACCAACCCACACTGCACTGCTGCCCCCATGATGCACCTCTGCTTGCTGGTTTATGTTAATGCGCTTGAACCCCATTGGCCCATTGCCATCATGTGCTCGCTGCCTGCTAATTAAGACTCAGTCAACTGTCAAATCACTGAAGCGACCCCTCGACGCAACTTTTGACCTGGTACTATGACCTTTCACCTTTTAGCTTGGCATGTAGCTGTGGTGTAATAGATGTACATTTGTAGTTTTAAAACAGAGTAGGTATTTAATGATCTGAACAGAGGAAGCAATGGGGGTGGTGAACTGATCACAGCCAATAGTTTTTTAAGCATAAAATATTCAGAGAAAAGAAAAAAAAAAACATTTGAATATTAATTCAAAACATCAGGGTCCAAAAGAGAAAAGGACTTATATCAGCAACCATCTACTCTCAGTGGTCAGTTCATCACCTCAAGTGATTATCTAATGACGTATGGTAGTCTTTGCATGATTTTGTCACTTGCCATATTGCATGTGTAATTGTTGAAGAGGTGTCATGATAGTCTTAACATGGCTTATAGTGTACTATTATCATGGAGCTGGCAGTGCAGCTTTCCCTAACTACATCGTTTCTGTCGATGGTCCAACAACCAATGAAAGAACTTGTATTATAGCTGCCATTATACAGCAGGTCTTTGCACAGAAAGGTCCAGTTATGTCTTAGTGTGCAAAATAGCTAGTTTTTGTATTGTACTCATCGAAATCAAAAGGGTGATGAGATTGCACTGAGGATTGTTTTTGTTGTTGTTGTTGTTTTCACTAGCAAGATAGATGTCACATTTTGTCAGCTAGCACTGCTGTCCTGTCTTGCTTGGACAGCTAGTCCACTGCTTGCTTGCCAGTGTTTGTAAGACCAGTTTGGAAGGGGAACTTTATCTTCTAATGAAATTCTTCCCTCTCTCTGTCCTGAATGTCACTGCTACCATCCTTTGATTTCCCTCACCTCCCATTCCTTTATTTTTGTGTCGTCCCCTCTTCAGGGGCTCCCCTCCGTCTTGCCTCCTTTACCAAAGAGACCTGCACTTGAAAAAGCCAATGGTGCCACCACTATGTTCAATGCTGGCGTATTCCAATACCAACAGGCCCTGGCCAACATGCAGTTTCAGCAGCAGGCTGCCTTCATACCATCAGGTAAGGCCTGAGCCTTCTTTAACACATGTTTGTGGCAGTTTTCCCATTGCTTTTGGTTCTCAAACACACAGCGCTGATTATGTTTTGGCATCAGCAGTGAATGGCATCTACAGTGGCAATTAGTGAAAGGATGGAGAAACTTGCATGGATTTAATTGCACATGTATGTGCAGCATGGCCATAGCTGAGACCGTTACCTTTCTGCATATATAGATATTTAGTAGGTCTATATCAATGTAAAAATTGGTCCTGGTATCTACAATACTATTGATGGTCTACTCTATATTCTGTTCCTATCAGTATTATTAATGATTCATGAAAAAAGACCTAAAAACAATAATGTGTTTGCATCTTTAATTGTACTATATATCAATCCTTGTATCAGCACTACTGTCTTTTAGTGCCTTGTCCTTGAGTAATGATTTATTTTTGGCCTCATTTTAAGAGCATATAATTTCACATAATCTACAGTAAATCATGACCTATCTCCAGAACACTGCAGAAGGGGTCATATGTTTTAGTAGTAATTCATGGCACCCTGACAGGCAAAACCTGGGGCCTCAATAGGCTTTGAGGCACAGTAAGCTTTGCGACACAAGGTGAACCAGACAAACCACGTTTTTATCAACTTTTTTTCTTAATCTGCATTTTGGCAGCTGGACAGTAATGTGACAGTTTAGAGAAATATATTTTATTCAGCAGATCAAACTCACGGGAACACCCTATACACACATACAACAGTATGTGTGTATATGCAGTACACACACATATACAGGCAGCTTATTGGAACCACTCTGGTCTGGCCACTGCGTAGTCATCTTACAACGTCCCATATTCTCATCTGACAGCCTAAGAATAGACTGCCATCAATTCTCTCCAGTGAGAGATTTGAATACTCAGATCCTCATACATCCCACACGTTGGACTGTCAGGTCACTGCAACGTGTTTTGAGGATTTTGAAAGCAGGTCATTCAAAACTGCTGCTGTGCAAACAGCTTCTACACCGCTGACAGAAAGATGGGCCCACTGCTAGTGTTTAATTTGCTCTTCTGTTTAATGGAGGAGTTGAACAGTAAAGTGGGACTGGACAGGTGTGTTTATATAGACGTATCTGTGTCTTTTGCCATGTAGTATGTGTGGTTGCAGCAACTTTGATGTGTGCAAATGACTGATTACTATGTGTAATTATTAATAACAAATATTGTTTCAAAGCATATTCAGAGCCCAGTTTGTTCACATCCAGGTTTAATCCATTTGAGTCTGACTTTATAACACTTGTAATGTTTTTTTTGTTTGTTTTTTTTCTCCTCCCTATTCACTCCACTCCCTGTTGCAATGCATGATGGGCAGGCTCGATATTGTGCATGACACCTGCAACAAGTGTTGGTAGGTGCCAGCTTTCCTTACTGATTATCTTTGAGCCCATTTTAGTCACTCGTGTTTCATCAAACTCACCACATGTGAGCATGTTCTCCATTCTGTGATTTTAGACTTTAACTCAAAATGACATATGTAATCTCTTTTAAGTGCAGTCGCCAGTGTGACTGATTTTGATTTGAATTTAACTGTGTCATTTCAATTAGGAAGTTATATATTGTATTACTGTCTGCAGTACTTCTACTGTATATGCTATGGAATGCCCCCTCTTTTGCTCTGTCACCTAATGCTTGTTGCAGTTCAAATTCCCTCTGACCCCTGCTTCATTACACCACCATCCCAGGCTCTCTAACCTGCAGAGCACCTCAGTGTACTGTCTGGAAATACATGCCGTATAAACATGAGAAGTTAGTGGGTCTAGTAACAGTAATTGTATGTTACAGTTTTGCATTATTTGTAGTATTAGTGTTATTCAATTTTTATGGCGGTAAGGCCAGTTGACTGTCCAGTTCAGTATGGATGCAGAAAAACATACTGCCATCTGAATGTATATTTTGCTCTTCAAATTTGGGTTTATTCTATGCTGCTGTTTAATTTTCTTTCTCAACAACACGCCTGTCGCTGTCTCCTAACTCAAATTGGTGGAGTACTTGTGAGAAACAACAGTAAATATCACAGAAAAAAATTATTTGATTTGGATCTACTTAAAACTATCACCAAATGTTCTCATGTTTATCAGCATTTTATAGACAGATGTAGAAATGAAGTGTTAACACAAATGGCTTTAAATCTGCTCTGGTTCAACTGCCTGTGTGATCTTTCCCTCCAAGTACCCATGATGCACGGTGCTACTCCAGCCACTGTGTCTGCAGCCACCACATCTGCCACAAGTGTTCCCTTTGCAACTGCAACAGCCAATCAGGTTTGCTCCTCTCCTGCCTCCTCTCACTCTCTTTTACTTCTGGTATCAGCTCTGACTTTTCAGTTAGATTTTTTTTTTATATCTTATCCCAGTGTACCTCTTAATGAAAAAAGCATGAGCGCATGAGGCTCGTCTCTGATCTTTCCAAGCTGTTCAAAGCATTTGATACAGTGATTATTTTGATAATTACAATGCTTATCTTTATTATTAGTCTAGTGTGAAGTACTGTTTGTCCTCATTACAACTAATGTGCCTGTCTCTCCCTGTCCTTGTTTATCTTTGCCTTTCTCCCTGTTTTCTCTCCTTTCCCCGCTCAATCAGATTCCAATAATATCTGCAGATCATCTGACTAGTCACAAGTATGTGACCCAGATGTAGGAGGCTCAGTCTGAACAGTATGTACTGCACTTCTTTCCAACATCTCACACTGCATTGCTGCCCCTAACAGCTGGAAAACTGTTGTGGAAAGAAGTTACGACAGCTGCATTTGTACAGCTGACAGAGTTGATTGTTAAAACAGTTACCTTTGTTTGTGAACTTTACTATCCATATAGAACTAAAAAAAAAAAGCACCTGACATTTTTGGAAATATGCCTTTTCATTTTCTTGCCTATAATTATAAGAAAATATTATTACCACCTTTATGTCTGTAGGTTAAATGCGAAGATACAGCCTGTACTTAGTTAGCTTAGCTTAGCTTAGCTTTACAAATAGAAGCAGAGGTTAACAGTTAGCTTGGCTATTTCTAGAGGTAAATTACAAAAGTCTTCCGACTCTATAGCTCACTCATTAACGTTGTTTGTTTAATCAATATGAAAACCAAATTATAAAAATGGCAGGCTTTGGTTTTGTGAGCAGATGTGTTCTTAGTTGGATGCAACAACTTCTGGGAATCTGGGAAACTGCAACAAGGAGATTTTCCAAAATGAGTAATAGGGTTGAATTCACCACCAGACATTCATTCATTTCCTTTTTGCCAACTATGACCTGGACACTGGCTCGTGCATCATCAGTGCTTTGTTTCAGGTTCGATGCTCAGTGTGTTCGATGTATGACTTGGCAAATACGAAATAGATGTGTAGTTGATTACAGCCACAGATTCTACACTTTTGATTTGAAAGTGCAGGAGTAAGTGTCTCATAAATTGTGTTTGGAAGAAAACTGTTCTGTACTGGTGTGTAATGTAGAATTACAAAGTCCTCAGTTCATTCTCACAGATATCATCTAATTAACACATAGAAACTAACTGTTTTGTTGTGTTACATCATAATTATGTGACAAAACAATCATTGTTCAAAACCTGCCTGGTGTTTCAAAGGATTACCTTTATATTGGACAACAAACAACAAGAAACACAAGAATCTCAACTAAGCTAACTTGTCCTTGTCATTCATGTCTAATTCACTGGTGTTTTGTGAACCTCTCTCCAGATGGAACTGGAGCGTGCGGAGTGTCAAGTCCAAGATCGATGGTCAGCCTTCACGCCTGTAACATCAAGAGCAAAATGGGGAACCAAATGTGAACCGGTTTGGAATAAATCTGCATGTTAACATAGGAGGCACAGTTTGTTAGGATTGTTTTCATGTGTACTTCATGCACTCTATTATTACACAACAGACAAGAACATCATTTGCATCACAGACTGCCTTTCGTTCTGTAGAGGCAACTTACCTTTATTCACCGGACACACTTTGAATGTTAACGAGAAGTAAATGTGTGGAGCAGTCGTCGACTGGAGTGGTACGTCCCTTGACCAAGAAACATAACTTAACGTTGTTTGTTTGTTCATTGGCTGTTGGTCTTTGACCTAAATGTGTTCATTTGTTTACACAAAGGTGCATTTCAGTTGAAGTGAGAGAAAAAAGAACCTGACTGAACGACATATGCATGCACAGTGATTTTCTTTATGATTTTATTTAGTTAAACCAGTGATAAGGGAAATGACATGAGTGCACTCAGAGGCAAAAAAAGCAACTGAATGTCTGTGAGGTGTCTTTCAAACCTTTGTAGCCTACCTTTCTATCTCTTAAGCACATGTCTTTAACCTTGCAGGTGTCCCTGTAAAGTGCCATACATCTCAAAATATATGAATGATATTTAAGCAGTGTTACAAAGTGATAAACTCGATAATTCCCTTTAACGCGTCTCTGTTTTCTCTCTTGGATTGCATGTAGTGTCCGTTGTCGTGACCTGTCATTACCTGTAGCACCACTGCTGATTAGATCCCCCTCCCCAGATTGCCTGCTTAACTCTCGTCTTCTCCTTAGCATCACAGATCTCAGATGAGTTCAGATGAGTTGTATGCTCGGTCTTGCTCTGTGTGAGAGACCAAAGACTCTCCCCATGATCAAGATGAGTTTTTCTTTTTTTTGAATAGCTTTGAAACTACAGGGCAATCAGTTGGCATCCAAACTGCTGTGCGACAGAAGTCAAAATCTATGGTGCAACTGGTAATGGAAATGTAATCTGTATGGCCTGATTTGTTTTTCTTTTGTATGGTTGTGCATATTTTCAGGCAGGATGCAAAAGTAGATTGAGTGCAGTGTACATATAGTCTGACATATTTAAGAATATTCGTTTCAAACATCTACTTGAGACCTTTTTTCAGATAGTCGGCCAAAGTCTTTTTGTGTTACTGTTACTAGATATTGTGGGTAGACTAGTGAGGCTAGATTTTAAAAATGCATGGGCCACATAAGCAAGCCCAAAGAGGGGTTGGGTGTTTAGAGTAGATCTCTAGAACTCTTTGTTGTTACTGTGTTTTGGGTGTTCTTCAGGCGTAATAATTGGTGGATAGTACAGGGAAAGTGGCAAGAATATAAACGATTGTATTACTCATCCAAAGCCTTAGAATGTACCACCGTATCAGCACAATGCAACATGCCATTTTACATCATCCAGTTGCCTAATCCACGCCATATTAACACACACAGAGCACTATGTAACTGTCACTTGATTTTGTCAGTGTTTCCTTAACCTTCTTGTGGTTTTTTTTTAGATGAGGAGTGTTTTTCTTTTTTTTGTTTGGATAACACTTTGATATTAGTTCAGATTTTTAGTTTTGCTCATTTGACTTCTTATAACGAATATAAAGGTGTGTATTTGTGTGATCCTCATGCACAGTTTCCTGAAATTCCATGTCATGTTAATTTTAGTATGATTATGGTTGTAAACTCAATATTTTCTACGTTATGCATATTGTTGAACTGTATGCATATTGTTCATTTCTCTAGTCTTTTTGTGTTCTTTGAACAAAGATGTTTTATATGAGTATCTAAAAGTGATGAAATAATAGAACAGAAAGGCTAAGTTGTCGCTGTGGCAACCGTTGCCGATAATCGAGTAATATTTTAATGATTGTAAGGTTTGTAACTAGTCATATAAGAAAAAAAAAGACTATTGTAAAAACCTAGTTCTTAGATGTTTAGAGTAAAAGTGTTATTTTCTACTGTATCCATTTCAAAAAGTAACTATTGTTTTAATATTTTTACTCTCCCTGGAAATCGGGCCATGTTGGAAAACAAGCTGCATATTTTAGGGGTGTTGCCGGCGGGGTCAGGTGAACGTGACGAGTAGGGACAGAGTCTGCGTGCTCATCTCTTACTCAGCCAGCTGCAAACAACAAGGGCAGGGTGGGGAATCTCAAGGCGATGAAGGTGATAAAGGTAGACTTTTTTGCACTTCTGTACATAGTCAAAAAAGAGAGAATCATGTATATTGAGATCTTATTTTGAATAAAAAAAATGTCTATAATGACAAGGAATTTTGCTAGGATAACAAAAAAATAAAAATAAAAATAAAAAAAACTTATGAAAGGCTGAACAAAATTGCTTGCATCAAAAGGGCACTGAGTTCTCACTTTCCTACCCCTTTCAGAAAAGGCCAAGCGTCGCTCTTCATTTTTGTCAGCAGCTTGTAGTTTGCCAGGTAACCTTCCGGAGGAGGGGCTCACCGCCCTCCAGCGTAAGAGCCTGACTGGGTTTGTCTGGTCCCCTAACCCGCCTGTTCTGACAGGTCTGTGTGTCATGGCCACGCCCTCCCAGGCCCAACCAATCACAACACGTCCTGTCTCTTTGCTGTACTCAGTGGGGAATGCATGTTAAAGGAAATACGTATACCATAAAAAAAAATCACAACACAGTAATATTGAATAAGAAAACATGTTACACAGAAAGATGTATTTACAATATACAATATTCTATCAATGTAATGGAATAAAATATATACTAAAAATACAAAAATAGAATAGTGGTTTATATAAAAAAGATTCCTGAGAATATACTCACTAAAGTTTCACCACGTGGAGAGTTAAAATACATGCAACACAAACACCATAGCTATAAGTATGTTCTTTATGTTTGTGTA